TTGTTTTGGGTTTTTTAATTATTTATTTATTTTATATTTATTTTTGGCTGTGTTGGGTCTTCGTTTCTGTGCGAGAGCTTTCTCCAGCTGCAGCGAGCGGGGGCCACTCTTCATCGCGGTGCGTGGGCCTCTCACTGTCGTGGCCTCTCCTGTTGCGGAGCACAGGCTCTGGATGCGCAGGCTCAGTAGTTGTGGCTCACGGGCCTAGCCGCTCTGCGGCACGTGGGATCTTCCCGGACCGGGGCACGAACCCATGTCCCCTGCATTGGCAGGCGGATTCTTAACCACTGCGCCACCAGGGAAGCCCAAGAGAAAGGTTTTAAAAGAGTACTATGGGGACTTCCCTGGTAGTACAGCAGTTAGGACTCCTTGCTCCCAGGGCAGGGGGCCTGGGTTCAATCCCTGGTCAGCAAACTAGATCCCGCATGCTGCAACTAAGACCTGGTGCAGCTAAATAAATTATTTTTTAAAAAGAATACTATGAGCAATTAATTGTACACCAACAAATCAGATTACCTGGGTGAAATGGACATGTTCCTAGAAACACAAAACCTATCAAGACTAAATCACAAAGAAATAAACAATCTGAATAGACCTATAACTAGTAAGGAGATTGAATCACTACTCAACAATTTCCCAGGAAAGGGCTTCCCTGGTGGCACAGTAGTTAAGAATCCGCCTGCCAATGGAGGCGACATGGGTTTGAGCCCTGATCCGGGAAGATCCCACAGGCCGTGGAGCAACTAAGCCCGTGCACCACAACTGCTGAGTGGGCATCGTAGAGCCCGCAAGCCACAACTACCGAGCCCACGTGCCTAGAGCCCATGATCCGCAACAAGATGAAACTACCACAATGAGGAGCCCACGCACCGCAACGAAGAGTAGCCCCTGCTCTCCACAACTAGACAAAGCCCGCATGCAGCAATGAAGACCCAACACAGCCAAAAATAAATAATTTTAAAAAAAATTTCCCCAAGAAAGAAAAGCCTTGGACCTAATGGCTTCACTGTGAATTCTACCAAATATTTAAAGAACTAACACCAATCCTTCTCAAATTTTTCCAGAATATTTCAGAGGAAGAAACACTTCCTAACTCATTCTGTGAGGCCAGCATAACTTTGATACCAAAGCCAGAAGACACTACAGGAAAACTATAGACCAATATCCCTTTTGAACATAGATGAAAAAAATCTTCAGCAAAATACTAGCAAACAGAATTCAGCAACACTTGAAAAGGATTATACATCATGACCAAGTGAGATTTATTCCTGGAATACAAGGATGATCAATGTAACATGCTACATCAACAAAATGAAGGAAAAAAAACACATGATCATCTCAAATGATGGAGAAAAAGCAAGATTCTGCACCCTTTCGTGATTAAAAACACTCAATAAAATAGGAAAAGAAGGGAACTACCTCCACACAATAAAATCCATATATGAAAATCCCAGAGCAAACATAATACTCAATGGCTTTTCCTCTAAGATCAGGAACAAGGCAAGGATGCCCACTTTCACCACTTTTATTCAACATAGTAATGGAAGTTCTAGTCAGAGCCATTAAGTTATAAAAGAAATAAAAGGCATCCAAATTAGAAAGGAAGAGGTAAAAGTATCTCTGCAGATGAATGATCTTATATGTAGAAAATCCTAAAGACTACAAAAAAGCTGTTAGAATAAATGACTTCAGCAAAGTAGCAGGATACAAAGTCAACACACAAAAATCAGTTGTATTTCTATACACAATGAACAATCCAAAAAGGAAATTACAAAAATGATTCCAGGGCTTCCCTGGTGGCACAGTGGTTAAGAATCCGCCTGCCAGTGCAGGGGACCTGGGTTCGAGCCCTGGGCTGGGAAGATCCCACATGTCGTGGAGCAACTAAGCCCATGCGCCACAACTACTGAGCCTGCGCTCTAGAGCCCACGAGCCACAACTACTGAAGCCCGCATGCCTAGAGCTCCACAACAAGAGAAGCCACTGCAATGAGAAGCCTGCGCACCACAATGAAGAGTAGCCCTGGCTCATCGAAACTAGAGAAAGCCCGTGTGCAGCAGCAAGGACCCAACACAGCCAAAAATAAATAAATTAATTTTAAAAAATGATTCCATATATAGTAGCATCAAAAAGAATAAAATACTTAGGAATTAACCAAGGAGGTGAAAGACATGTACAATGAAAACTACAAAACACTCCTGAAAGAAATTATAGACATCAATAAATGGAAACACATCCCATGATCATGGATTGGAAGACTTAATGTTAAAAGTGGACTTCCCTGGTGATCCAGTGGTAAATAACCCGCCTTTCAATGCAGGGGACAGAGGTTCGATCCCTGGTTGGGCAACAAAGATCTCACATGTCACAGGGAAACTAAACCCGTGTACCACAACTACGGAGCTCACGCGCCTCAACAAGACAGCCCACGTGCCGCAAACTACAGAGCCCACGCGCTCTGGAGCCTGCATGCTAGAACTAGAGAGAGAAAACCTGCACACTGCAACTAGAGAGAAGCCCGAGCGCCACAATGAAGAGCCCACGCCACAACGGAGGATCCCGCACGCCTCAATGAAGACCCCATGTGCCTCAACTGAGACCCGACGCGACCAAAAAAAATAAATTAAAAAAAAAATTGTTAAAATGTTAGTAGTACCCAAAGCAATCTATAGATTCAGTGCAATTCTTAAAATATCAAGGACCTTTATACAGAAATAGAAAAACACTAAAACTCATATGGGATCTCAAGGGACCCCAACAGACAAAACAATTTTGAAAAAGACTAAAACTGAAGGAATCACACTTCTTGGTTTCAAAACCTACTACAAAGCTATAGTAATCACAACAGTATTGACATGAAAAGAGACAGACATATAGATCAATGAAATAGAATAGAGAGCCCGGAAATAAACCCTCGAATATACAATCAAATGAGTTTTGAGAAGGGTGCCAAGGCCATTCAATGAGGAAAGGACAGCCTTTTCAACAAATGGTGCTGGGAAAACTGGATAACCACATGCAAAAGAATGAAGTTGGACTCTTACCTAACACTATATACAAAAATTAACTCAAAATGGATCAAGGACCAAAATATAAAACCTAAAACAATAAAATTCTTGGAAAAATATAGGACAAAAGCTTCATGACATTGGATTTGGTGATGATTTCTCGGATATGGCAACAAAAGAAAAAATAGACAAATTGGACTTCATGAAAATTAAACTTTTTACATTGAGACAGTATCAACAAAGTAAAAAGGCAACCAACAGAATGGGAGAAAATATTTCCAAATCACTTATTTGATAAGGGATTAGTATCTAGAATATATAGAGAACTCCTAAAACAACACACACACACACACACACACACACACACACACACAAAACCAGATTCAAAAATGGGCAAAGGACTTGAATAGACATTTCTCCAAAAAAGATGTGAATGGCCAATAAGCACATGAAAAGATGCTTAACATCATTAATTATTAGGGAAACGCAAATCAAAATTACAATGAGATACCACCTCACACCTATCAGGATGGTTACTGTCAAAAAAACAGAAAACAATGTTCGGTGAGGATGTGGAGAAGTTGGAACACTTGTGCACTATTGGTGGGATTGTAAAATGGGAAAGCCACTGTGGAAAACCGTATGTAGGCTCCTCAAAAAATTAAAAATAGAATTACCATATGACCCAGCAATTCCACTTTAGGGTATATATCCAAAAAAATTAAAAGCAGAGTCTCAAAGAGATGTTTGTAAACCCATGTTCATAGGAGCAGTATTCACAATAGCTAAAACATGAAAGCAGCCCAAGTGTCCATCAACCAATGAATGGATAAACAAAATGTGGTATATACATACAATGGAATATTATTCAGATCTAAAAAGGAAGGAAATTCTGCAATATGCTATAACATAGATGAACCTTGAGAACATTATGCTAAGTGAAATAAGCCAATATTTATCTTATAAAAAGATAAATACTGTATGATTCCACTTATATTAGGTACGTAGAGTAGTCAAGAGCACAGGACAGACACAAGGTATAATGATGGTTGCCAGGGGCTGGGGAGAACAGGGAGTTATTGTTTAATAGCTGTAGAGTTTCAGATTTACAAGATGAAAAGAGATGGGAATGGATGGTGGTGATGGCTACACAACAATGTGAACGTATTTAATGCCACTTAAAAATGATTAAGATAGTAAATTTTCTGTTACGTGTATTTTAACTCAATAAGAAAAAAGAAATTACTATCAGTAAGAGAATATATAACTTGAGGTATAATTCATACAATGGAATACCATATAACAATAAAAAATGAATCAACTGCACGACACCACAGATGAATCATACAGTGCTGATGAAAAAACAAGACATAGAAGAACATACACAGAATGATTCTATTTACCTAAAGTTCAAAAGCAGACAAATTATATTGTATAAAGATGCATACAAGGAATGGTATGAGTCAAAATGAAAACAGGTATAAGAATAACAAAAGATGACCTCTAGTGGTTCCCAATCTTAGCACTACCTCCAAATCACCAGGGGTGGGGCAGCCTAAAAAATCTACCCACATCTAGGTTCCACACCCCTAAGTTGTGATTTCATTGTGTCTGCGATGCTGGCTTTAGGCATCCAGTTTCAAATCTCCAGGTGTTTCTTTCTTTTCCTTTTTTTTGGGGGGGCCACGCTGTGCCACACGGCTTGTGTGATCTTAGTTCCCAGACCGGGGATTGAACCCATGCCCTAGGCAATGAAAGCGCAGAGTCCTAACCACTGGACCGCCAGGGGTTCCCTCCAGGTGTTTCTAATGTGAAGACAAAGTTGAGGATGCTGCCTGCTCTAAGGTGGAGCAAGAGGGCTGTGATAGGGAAGGCCAAATGTGGGGCCTCTGGGGTGCTGGCAATGGTTTTCCTTGACCTGGGGGGAGTTTTACAGGTGTTAGCTTCATAATTTTTCACTCTACATATATTTTATGCCCTTATCTATACATGTCAGCTCTTCTCTTTTTCCACAGCATACACGTAGGTGTTCCAGGGCCCACAGCTCACGGTCCTTACTTGGAGTTGCTTATCTACAAAGTACTTCACACGGCAGGGCCGATCCAAGCTGGTCGTGTCTTTGTGGCCAAGCTGTCCATATTTACCTAAAGTGAAATGAGCTGCTTTGACATCCTCTCCACTGGGCCTTGTGGCTTTTCCCCTCCAGGAAGGAAAAACAGCCCATTGACTGAAGTGCTGGGCTTAAGCCACCAGTCTGCTGGTGTCTGCTCCATGAATTCAGGAGACCAGCACCACAGAGCCTCCAGGACCAGGCAATTCCACAGGTCCCCAAGAGGCAAGATGCTCCTCCAGGCTCCCCACTCCTAAGCTCAGATGTTCAGAGCAGAGATTTTTATTTTATCTTTTTCTCTACCCAGTGCCAGACCAAAAGATGTTTCATGACTGCTGGCTAAATATTCCCTTAAGACAAATACCTTTTCAGAAAGGTAGACGGGAAATACTGACATGTTGTCCTATTTCTCTCTCGTCTGGTCTCTGTCCCTCTGAGTGTGCCTAGATCTGTTCCAGCTTTTCAGTCCCAATGGTCAGGCCGAGGCCCCTGCTTCCACTTCTCTGCATGGCTGTTGTCACCTGCCCTCTAGTCCCAGGTCTTTCCTCCCCTTGGTTTAAGCATCACAAAAGCAAACCTTTTACTTACCCCAGCCCCAGGTGTAGAGCTCCCCCATTCCTGCAACCAAAGGACAGCAAAAGGACAGTAAGGGGCTGACACCACTGCTCTTTGACTAGGCATTTGTCCAGCTTGGCCTGCCAGCATTCTGGTCACCACGAGACTTACTTGGCGTAGCAAAACATATCCTCTCTCTCTTTTTAACAACGGTCTAGTCACATTTGGGGTGATAAAGGATCCAAACTGAAAAAGTTCACCTCCCTATATGCGGACTGATTGGCCTGCAACTCACAGCTGCTGAGTTTAGGACAGCCCTGCTGTCAGGTGAAAGGCTGGCAACACTAGCCTCCCTCCAGAAGGAAGAACCTTCGGGGCCTGACAGGCTGGGGAGCCACTGTTAGAGCCCCGTGGGAGTGTACTGAGTGGGGCAGCTACTCAGTACATGTCAAAGGTGCTTAATTAAAATGGTAGTTTTTTAGGTGACCACACCCTTTTCTGCAGCCACCAGCTAGAGAGCCGGGTGGAGGGACCTCCCGCTCCATCCTGAACCAGCCTACCCAGCCCCACTCACTTGTCACCACTGCTGTGTGCCGGGATCCACAGCTGGCCTTGACTGCATCTGAGCCCAGGGGAAGGTCCAGTAAAGCCGGGAAGGGCTGGACAGCTATGAAGGGGGCGGGGGCTCCATCCTCACCCCTGGCTACTCTCTTCACTTCAGAACCATCTTCATTCAGTCCTGAGGCTTCAGAGAAGTAATAAGAGTGATGATGATAATGATGCTGAACACTCACTGAGCACTGATCTAAACCTCATTCATATGCTGACTCACTACAACAGCTGACACACTTGCTCTAGCTCCAGAGCCATTGCTCCCAACCCCACATTCCCTGGGAAGTGCTGGAGTTGACAGGTTCGTGGGGCATGTAGTGCTGACACTGGCATCAGCCTTGCCGTGCTCCCTCTCATAAGGGGCTCAGAGTCCTTCATTGTGCCCTGGGGTCCCAAGGATGTCACGTACCCTTTTGAGCACTGTAGCTCTCAGGCCAACAATATGGCCAGGAGTCAGGAATGACAGAAACGTGTGGAAATCAAGAATTGACCCTCACCAACAGACTTGTGGTTGCCAAGGAGGAGGGGGGTGGGGGAGGGATGGATTGGGAGTTTGGGATTAGCAGATGTCAACTATTATATATAGAATGGATAAACAACAAGGTCCTACTGTGTAGCACAGGGAACTGTATTCAGTATGCTGTGATAAACCATAATGGAAAAGAATATGTATACATATATGTATAACTGAATCATTTTGCCATACAGCAGAAATTAACACAACATAAATCAACTATACTTCAATAAAATATATCCAAAAAAAGAATTGACTCTCACCTTCTGCGGTTGTCTTTCCATCCTCTGCCAGGCTCTTGGTGGGCAGGGCCAGCTGCCCTGATTCATTCCAGCCCCAGATATAAATATCCCCAGCCTCTGAAAGAGAGATAAAGGGGCCCCATTAACAGACTGTGTTCGTCCCCTCCACCTCCTAAGCATGTGCATCCATCCAGACTCCACTACACCCCACTAGCTCCCTAAAGACAACAACTGCCTGCCCTGCCCAAGTCAGCACTCCAGGCAGAGTGCTTTCCTCAGGCCCCAGCAGCTTCCTTGTCTCAACAGGGCCCCTTCCCCCTTAAGTGCCTTCAGGTCACCCTATTCTTAAAGGAAGTCTCTTGCTGGCTCTTCCTGTCCACTTTCATTTTTTCCTTTCTGTTAAATTGCACCCCCCACTCCCCCCGCGTGCAGTTTGGAAATGTGGCCCAGGAAGTTCCCCAGTGGTCTTTTTTTCACATCCACTGAGCCCAGGCCCCTTTCGTCAGCCCCATCTGCCACTGGGCCTGCTGAAGGCCTTTTAAAAAACTGTTGTTTTAACTGAGGTGGTATTGGTTTATAACATTATGTTTCATGTGTACAGCATTATATTTTGACTTCTGTATGCACTACAGTGTGCTTATCACCAAGAGGTTAGTTTTCATCTGTCACCATCCAGCCAACCCCCTTTACCCATTGCACCCTCACCCTCCCCCAAGGCCTCTGGAAGCTCTCACAACACTGGAGTTGGTTGATTGGAGCAACAGCCCTATGCTAAAAATTCACTAACAGCAGTGGCTAATTTTTATCAAGTGCTTATTCTGTGCCACTGTTTTAAGCACAATATCCCCATTTTATTCAAGAGAAAACTTGAGGCACAGAGAGGTTAGGTGCTCTGCCCAAGATCACGAGGGGCAGGGTGATGATTTGAACCTGGGAGGTCTGGTCTGAAGCCTCCATGCTCCAACCATGCGACACCAAGGCCTCAAATGCCTTTTGGACCTTTGTGCGAGACTTCCCATTGGGCTCACCTTCCAGTCCTCTCTTCTCTTCCCTCCAGCCCACTCATTCTCAAGCCTGGCTGCCGACCCAGGCCCACTACATGTGAATATGGACAGGACAGTACAAGCATAGGTAGTTTTTAAAGACCCCTGGTGAAACCATGCCCCGTAGGGTTAACAGAAGCTGATAACTAATAGAAATTCTTGAACCTCTCTTACAGAACAACAGATGAGGGAACAGCCTGTTAAAACCCCTTTGCTTGTTAAGTGCCTTCATTGATTAAGTTCACTTTCATTATTTTTCTTTTTTTCTCTTTAATTGCATACCTTCCCAGCTTCATGCAACTCAGTTGTTTCACAGGAACTTGGAGTCAGCTCCTGCCCAGTGAAAGCCAGCTGGGGACTAGTTGGGGCCACTGACCCTAAAACTGGGCCTGTGCAGATGTCCAGTGGATGGCCTTTTGATGTCAGAGGGCTGGAAAACTCCACCCTCAGATCATGCTAAGCGTCTCCACATTTTTGTTTTGGCTACACTGCGCGGCTTGTGGGATCTTAGTTCCCCAACCAGGGACTGAACCAGGGCCCCTGAAGTGAAAGCGCCGAGTCCTAACCACCGGACCGCCAGGGAATTCCCAAAGTGCCTCCATTTTGAATATGCAGAAGCATGTGACCCAGATATGCCTGCTCAGAACACTGATTACCTCACCTTCTTCCCTACCTCCAATCACCTTTCCCCACGCCTAAGACCACCCTGCTTATCCCATAAATACCCCAACTCCCTTCAGGGAGGCAGATCTGAGACTTATTATTCTCCCATTTCCTCGCTTGGCTGCCTTGTGAACAAACTGCTTCTTGGCTGTAAACCTTGGCATCTCAGCGTCTAGCTTGCTGCGCATCAGGACCTGGTCGGTAATGATATAAGTGGCGGCCAGAGCCCCAGATGCAGATCCTTGCAAAGATCATTCGCTCCCAGCTGCATCCAACAGCCTAGAGATAGCTGCACCTGGACCACCTGCCAGAGTGGTGAACACAATCTAAAGTGAAACTCCTCATTCTGGCCTGGGTCACCAGCCATGGCACCACCAGAACTCACACTCACCATCATCATCCTCCTGGTGGGCATCCAAGTGTCCACTGTGTGCCACACATCACGGCCACCCGGGCAACTGCTGCCTTTTTTTCTTCCTTAGCTCGGTTGCCCCTCACCCCTTCATTCTCCCTTGGGGAGTATTTTAGAAAGACAGCCCTGGCTGGAGGCAGACGGAGGGGAGGGGTAGTGAGACCAGTAACAGAAGACAGGAAACAATTGTGACAGTCCGGGTGCGAGTGGGTGATGGTGGTGGCAGAGGGGCTGAATCTGAGAGGCGTTAGGGAGTCATGAATGACTGGGCTGGCTGATGTGGGAGGAGCTTGGGAGGAGGCCCGGCTAGGGCACCCATCAATTTTCGAGAGAAGGAGAAAGGTTTGGAGCCTACGAGACCTTGAGCTGGTTTTGGAAAAGCACTAGGTCACTCACCACTCACACACAGAGAGTGCCAGCCACCTGCGGCCACCTCAGCCATGGTTAGGCCCTGCAGCGCCTGCAGCAGCCTCGGCTCCGGCTCTGCCTCCAGAGTCCCGTGGCCCAGCTGTCCGTGTCTGAGCAAAGGAGACCCTAGTCAACTACACCAAGGGGTCTCCTTCCCCTTCCCTCCCCAATCGCTCTCTCCTGCCCCCTGTGTGCTCACCTCCCACT